CAATGAATTAAGTCAGACATACCATCATTCCACACTGGAGTTTTGTTATGAAGTTCCAAAAGATTCTCCATCCTCTTGTTCTTGTATCTTTCCAATAACCCATCACCGTCCTATAGCAAAAATGCATTAAATAAAACATAACCATGGAAAATTGAGAATGCATATACCCAGTGAGTGGGTGATCTTTGATTCTTGCCACTCTCACCTTTCTGCACTTTTTAAAAGTCCCTGTTTACATGTATGCCCTCTCAACAAAATAATGCCTTGAGCAATGATTACAAAATTGCAGATTAAAAAGATCAAATCAACACACCGTGAGGGGTCGCATGGGTATCCTCTGTTGATCAAGCCCCATTCCTGGAAGAATAACTGTCATTCTGCGAGGCCCTTTGAACCCAAGTACATTTGTATCCTGTAAAAGGGAAGAAAATCTTGTATTTACATCAAGTGTATAAAAACAAACATCTGCCTAGCCATCGTCTGCTGGTAATTTTTAAAATAAAAAAGGTCCCACTTAAAGTGGCTCCCTATAGTTTTGTGCTTGCTCCTGTGCTTAGGATGAAAGTTTAAGAAATCAGTGCATGCTCAAAGGAAAACATCAGGTGTTTTTCAGTATTTTATGATGTCAACATGAGCATGCAGAGCAAAACTGANCAGGGGTAGAAGACATAAATTTGCGAAAATTGAAAAACTGCCTGTACAAACCCTTGGGTAGTTTTTTCGTCTTTAAAATTTGTATCCTACCAGGTTTGATGGTTTATACATGTACTTACATAAATAATAGCTGCTACTTCCTCTCTAATATTTGAACCATCAGACATAACACCACCTTTTTTGGGATTAACACCATTGTTGAACACGGTAAACCTTGTTCCTACTAAATTGGATCTGTGAGAAGAAAAAAAAATTGAATCAATTCAGTACAGTTAAGTTGAAAGTACATGTACCTACAAGTGTTCTGAGCAATGAAAGATACACTGTATTTCATGTAGTTCCATTAAAAATCACTTATAATCATCATCATCATTTTATTCCTTAATAAAATCTACACTTTACAGTTGGACTGACCCACAAATAGCTATGCTAGTCTAGGCAGGCCAGACTAGCAGGCCACACTTACAGTGCAAGCTTTCTCAACGGATACTGTCATAAGCAGACAGCTCTACTAACGACCACCTTCACAAAACCCAGTTTANCAAGAAAGAAAACTGGATCAAAGTGGCTTTAAACAATAACACTGACATAGCTCACTAGATATCCTGTAATTGCATTTAGCTACTTACCTAAATACAAATTTTTCAAGATCGTCGATTTCAACAGCTGTGCCAGGAGTTGCAGTACCTGTATTTGGTGGGGATTCTCTGTTGCTAGGTGGTGGCTGCCAAGCAAGTAGAAAAAAGAATTACCACACTGTATTAGCAGTGATTTTATTTTACACATCATGTAATATATCAAACACGAAAGACAGTGTTTGACCACATTTCCAAACACCAAGAAGAAGTTGAAAATACAATGTGTAGCAGAGTATTTTTGATGAACTTCCAGGTGTTTGGAAATGTGGTCAAACACTGTCTTGAGTGTTTGTTCTATCTTCTCAATCAAAACTAAAACTAAGGAGAAAATAGAGAATTAAAATCGTAAAAATCTAATGCTAACTTTAATCAGATATCCAAACACTGTCACAGTCATGATTTCCTTTGTTTAAACTTAATGAATTATTAATGAGTTTGAGAAGTGTAGTTCAAACATAACTGAGCTAGGTTTAAAAAGTTCTACTAAAAAACTTTTAGTCTCAATTTCTTCATATTTGGGATATTTGTAACAATTTCAGTCTGAGAGTCTTACTTTCCACACATTATTATGTAGGTTTAACATCAACCTACAAATTTCAATGAATTAAAAAACCTTCTAAAATAATACCACTAGCACCTTTTTAGACTTTGTAGCAGAATCATATGAGGGTGGAGGCCCAGACTGTAGGTTGGGAGATGGTGTTCTTGCTCTTGCTGGTGCTATGACTTGTGATGATAACTCTGGTTCATCAAAATCATCCTTAATCCCTGCATAATCTGCACTAGATGAAATACCCATTGCTGCTAACTTGCGCTCTGTATCTGTTGTTTGCTAAAAGGCAACATTGAAAACAGAAAATGGGTAAATGAAAAGGGTGACATAACATTTTGGGCATTTTTCAGACAAGTTTACATGCCCCATCAGAGGTCAATGGTTCAAACTACAATTGTTCAAAGTACATGTACACTGTCTACTACATTATTCCATGGGAAACAAATACATATCACTAATTATTAATAAAACATTCCATCTGTGCTGGCCAAAAGCTAAAGGTCAAGCTTACAGTGTAGGCTTGAGCAGTTATTCTCCTCAGAAATACATTGTCACTCTCAATGGGAAGCACAAGATAGTCATACAAACAGTTGGGTGTTTAAAGCCAGAAGTAGCAGGTTGACATAACATCTTGAATTGTAGTTAGCATAATTATTGTTCATAATTTTCTAGTTTTTATTTGTTTTCAATGAAAATGCTTCCAAAATGTCAACAAAAGAATAACCACATTGGCACAGTGGAGCCAGGGACACTTAAAGCCAAGCAGTGAAGTTTAAGTGGCTATTTAGCTTGAACTAGTATACCAAGTGATTATTTTTGGGCTCAAGTCAAAACATTTCACTACCATCAGAATCCCAAGAAAAAAATTTAAGTTATGTTCTTAATTAATTTTCCCTTGCCTTGCACAGACATGCTCACAGCAGTGGGGGTATTTAATTTCCGTGATGATTATAAAAATGCTTGCATTGCAAAACCACAAGAAAAGGCCTAAACCTAAGTTAAAGAGAGTTTTTATGTGGACATTATGTGTGAAAAGCAAGCAACTAATTTGCACAATCAGGAGGTTGATTGTTAAGCCATCATGTGGATGATACAGTCAGCTCCAACTAAGGAGGCTTTGTTAGGGTAAATTCTAACATGCAACACAGCTCTGAAACTGCAACATGAGGAGCTGAAATGAAGACCAATGATGAGACTGCATCTATCAAATTACACAAGCAACAAATAGAAAAGCAAAATGAAAAACCGCATTGGCAGTGTTTAAATTAGACAACGACTTGTACAATGTACAAGGCAAAGTGAAACATAGCCTTTGCAGATTTAAACTTTTCTCCCTTAGTTTCCATATCGTACTTTGTTAATACACTATTTAATTTGGTTGATTATAATCCAAGGATAGAATATTTTGGCAACCGAATTACTAGCTAGAATGCATAATTTATGTTAATTTTATACATTATGAACTTTAATAAACATTTGTGATACTATCAGTGGCTTTCCCAACGAAATTCTTACAGCGACATGCGAACCTTGCAGTATAATTGCAACATGAAAAGGTTTGAAACTCAGAAGTCTGTCTTGTCAAAGTGTCGGTCTCATAGAGACCTGTATTCCCTAAGAGAGAGTTGACTGTACTTGTAAAGAGTTGCATGTCTTACAGCAACAGGAAGTAGACCAGCTTATTTGTGGAACTTTAGACATTTAATTTTCATTCTCATACTGACAAAACACTTGAAAAATCACACAAAAATTTAAAATTGGACCCACAGTATAATGGCCAAGTTTGTAGTTAAGCTACACATTTCACTAGCTGTTCTTGACATATTGCCCTGTTGTTACTTACTGTTGCACAAAATGTAACAACCATTTCTCTGCCACTGGAATTTTGCAAAGTAATATAATTTTGTCAATATTATTTGTCTTGGTCACCAGAGGAAATTTTAGTTCAGCAATGGGAATATTAATTTTAATCTCCCCAAAGACCCTAAAAATGTTTGTATCACACAGAAAAAGTCATTATTTCACTCTGAAAATAGTAATATCTTAATAACATTAAAAGCAAGGAGTTAATGCTGAAGTATACATTTTGCCCCCGGGGTGATCACATGATCAGCCACACCATCGGTCAAAGAAATTTAACCCATTGCATGATCTCACTCAGCTTTTGTCTGCGCAGTGAAATTTGCCAGGACTGTAATATGAACTGCTAGTGTTCCAAGTCCAACTTAAGATAATGAAAGATTTTACCACCACCACTAGTATGTCATATCACTCACTTTTGTCCGTGGCTGCGGTTCTTCTTCTTCTGATCCAACATTAACCAATAGGCCGCCCACAGAAGGCTCTGGTGGGGTGGCATAACTTGCTACAGGGCCATCTATACCTAAAACCAAAAAAGTTAAGCTTGTGCTTGTGAACACTACAACATTTACTTCCTCAAACATACCTGTATCTTGTAGTGAATTCACTTACCCATATCATTATGTACATGTATGTAAATTTGTTTAGAACAAATTGAAATGTAATATTTTACTGTTAATATGTTGTTGTCCACTTTGGAAAAGTGTCTGTCTTAAAAGTGTTTTGCTAACAGCTAAATAACTGAACCACATCAGAGATCAACTCTAAATTTAAGTGTCTTTAAGATATTGTCTACTTTAACATCAAGACATTAAAAGCATACTACAAATGTTACTTTCATGACAAATACAAATTTCCCTACCATGTAGTTGTGTTCCACCAAGCACCAAAGGTGTCCTCTCTGAATGACGAGACATTGGGCGAGCTACATCATTGGCTTGAACCATTCCTTTAACAAAATTGCATACAGTACATATGTCAATAATAATCAATGTAAATATACTGTGATTTGCATTTATTTTTCTTGGATTGAACCTTTTCTAACTACAGGTAGCTACATTTTTATTTTTCTTTGTTTCATATTAAGGTGACCAAACACAGTTTCTCATTCCTGTGCCTGTTTGGCCCCCAACAATAGCCACATACAAGTGCTTACATGTTAAAGTGCCTATGAAGTGAAATTTTTTTTTTCATTTCTCTGTCGCTTGTTATGTCTACTTTTCAAAATTGCCAAAAGCGAATAATGTTAAAGAGAGAAAAATTTGACTTTTTGCTGTTCAAAGTTCGAATTTGACAACCAAAAGTGGGTCCATTTTGCGCGAGGCCAAAACAAATGTATTACAATGCCGTGACATAGGAAATTGTTCAGATGACTTCGTCGCTACTTTCCGACTCTTGTACGTTGGAACTTTCACTAGAGGACAGATATCCATCAAAATCTGACATTTTACTTGCAAAAAAAATGGCGAACTTTGAAGAAATCTCCTATGGCAATTCACGTAGCTACAGAGGCAAAGTGAGGTAAACAAATTGCCACAACAATTTCCTACGTCATCGCTTGTAAACTCGTTGCCAGGCTCCGGACCCACTGTTTTGCTATACTGAGCTCACTTTGGGCGGCAAAAAGTTGAATTTTTCTCTTTGTAACATTATTCGCTTTAAGCAGTTTTGAAAAGTAGACATAACAAGCGACAGATAAAAGCAAAAAAAAAAAAATTAACTTCATAGGCACTTCAACACTATCCGAGTTAAATAATAGTTTAACAGAGAGAGAAATAATTATCCTTGTTGAATGATACAAATTATGTACATGTAACTTCATTATTCTGATTTCTTCTGTTACCTTTTAAATTTTTTTCAATAATTCAAAATATTTGTAGCATGTAGGGTTCTCAAGAGAAAGACACGTTTTTGAGAAAACCATTAAAACATTCAGTCTCAATTTTTTAACCAACTACCCATGCACTGCATTCAGTGGGGACCGGTTCGTTACCACCAATTTCACTGTGTAGGCCACCTTGTGGCCTGTTCATTCAACATGATTGCTTGATATTCTTCAAGTTTACATTGGCAAGTGGTGTATTTGCTAGTGCAGGGGTTTAGCTTCAGCATTATAGCAACATTCCTGCACATGGGGAAGATATTTGCATAGACAGTTCAAAAATACCTCCACGGTTGATTACCCAGCTCAGACAGGAAAAGCAAGAAAAACGAAGGCTAGGTGATAAAGGAATCACATTTTCCGAAGGCATTATTTCAAACTTAGCTGCAATGATCTGCCATCTATTCAAGACTGGAGTTTATTAGCATTTTTATTCATTATTATTTTTGAGAGCTAAATATCTTATAATTATACCTTGTGTTGATTATACCTCAAATAAGTGAAATCCTTGAGGGTTTTATTTACAAATCTACCTGGGGGACCTGGTGTTTATTCAGGACCTGGCATGTAACTGAGAAAACATGGTACATCCAGTTTTTCTTGCATTTCTGAAACAAGCAACTCATTATCTGAATTGGAAGAAACTATTAAGTAATTTTCAACATGAAAACAAGTGTGCCTAATTTGGGTTTCCAGTAATTAAGCTACTAGGCAACCTTCTATGCAACAGTAGTCTGTTTTATGTGAATGAATAATAATCACAGTACAAGTAGCTTTTGACAGCAAAAGTATTTTTTCCTCACAAGAACTTTCTATGTACAAATTGTGTTTGATGGCTCTAGAGACAATCTGAGAATTTTAATTTAGCAAGGACATTCTAAGGGGAAAGTGACAAGCAGTCATCATATATTCTATCGCCTGAAAGTAGACTCCTCTGTTTACATCATTTTGCATTTTGTATTGTCAGTGAAAAACAGGTGTGTATACAGAGAGCTCCAAACTTTACTTCTCTCACAATTGAAACATTCAATCCGTGGGTACTGCACAACTGATGGACATGGAAGTCTTGAATGCTGGCAGCTGGTCTTTTGAAGACTACGTTTTGATATTTTGAATTCCAAAAATTTCAATTTTGGATACTGACAGTCAGCCAACCCCATTGAAATAGTACCATTTGCAGCTAATTTCCATATGTTTACACAATCATTTATTTTTGAAAATTTTCACCAAACAAATTGACACTACCAAGAGTTTCAAGGCTAAAAAACGAACAAAATTTTGATCATCAAAAAAACAACAGTAAAATTTATTTCGGTGTTTTATCAGGTATGAAAGATAGAAAATTACTTCAGTTTGGCCTAATCTTCTCTGTTTCAAAATACAAAATAGAATATGCTAATATCAAATGTTTCCCTCTATTTCTTAATTTGAAATCTACCAAACAAATATATTGCATTGCATCTGATGTCATCATAAAAACTAAAATGAGATGACACTTTATTCAAATATGGAGGCATAAACTTTTTTCAATTCTAGTGTTTCCAACAACAGCTAATCTTAAAGTTAGAGCAAAATTTCAAAAATCTTAACTGTTAAACCTACAAAGTGGTTGTTTTCACTTATTTTGCTAGAAACAAAACAAAAAAATCAATCTCAGTCTGTAGATCTACATGTACACATACATGTATGCATACATGTATCTTCATATTGATTCAGCAAGGAAAGAAAGCACCAAATGAAATGTACAATGTCTGGGATGAATGTCTGTCAGAACTGTCAAAAGGTAATTTTTACATCAATCTTTTTTTATTTCCCAATAAGGTAACTATCAAGATGTGATACCTAAAGTAAGCCAATGTTATGTGAAATCTAATGATATTGATAGTACATGTAGAACATGTATTTAACTTTTACTACATTTACACTGTATTGTAAAGGTTCCATGCGGTTTTCAATGAAAGGCACCACATGGCAGCTCCACACTCCAGGATTTAATACTCTGAAAATTATGTTTGTACCAACACGATGTTATAATAAAGTATTCCTTCTGCCCGCTCTGTAATCATGTTGTTCAAGTCTAATGTCCAACAAATATAGTTAACACGCGCATGTATCTTACATGTATGCTATGAAGAGGCAATTTTTAAGCCAAAACCATCGAATACATGTATGTTATAAGGCAGATGTTTTTGTTTTTTTCAAATATTCTAATTTATTGCTTTAAGCCAATTGTCACAAGGTAGACATATTTATCATGCCCAATCATGCACCTTTTAATAATAAAAAAATGCCAAATGAAAAAGCAAACTCTACAAGACCAGTACTGAAAATTTATCAGTTGGCAAGGATACACCCAGATCACAATAAATTAAGCATAACATATGGCCATAAAAGTATACACAAACATCCCAGCTAGGATATTTAAACTTAACTTGCATGTACGCATTGATAGACAAGTCACAAAATAATACACTCACATAGATTGATGAATGTGAACTATGTTTTTTCAGCCACGAGATTGTGCCAGAATACTGCACCAAAGAGAAGATGAAAAACTGCAGTCTTGTAGCTTTCTGTTTAGTAGCTTAAAAGAACACCTGTACTAGTCTTCTGAACAAAGACAGGAATTCAAATTAGGAAAAATAACCAAAAGGAAAAAGAGCATCACAAAAACAAAGGAACTTAAAAGGTCTTTAATAGGTCCAGTCGAAGGAGCAAGAACAGATAGGAAAATGCTAATAAGCTCTTGTATGGTTTTCGAAGTTAATACATCTGATTGGTCCAAATACATTGCACCATTTTCTTCCACCAAAAAGATTCAATCAGGTGCAATCAATAATATTAAATTGCATCAAACCAATCTCTAATATTCACCCGAATGTAAATTTTAATTCAAAAAATAATGATGTTATCATTGTTGTATTTGTCTGGAAAATCTGTCACAGCAGCGCACTTTAATTTGGTGACTTTCCACTGCTTATCATTTTCCATTTTGTATTAATAATCAATCTTACTTCACGTTAAGATAATGGGACCTGCATGTAGCGGACTCTTTTTTCCATACATGACTGTCGGTAAGGGAAACCGGTATTTTAAGTATATAATATTTCATAGTTGCCAACATATAATTATCTTCAGAAGCATGCATCTGAGCATTAACAACATACTGCAAAGAAAAAAAACAAAACAAAAAAAAAATCAAATTGGGTATCAAACATGACATTGAAGATTAAAGTCAGCAAACACACATTATCCACAAGTAAGACCAGATCATGTTTGGCTTGTGTATGTAAATAAAATTTTGTTCACAGCTCAAGAGAAAATTTTTACAAGCTAGGAAAGTAATTTGGCTCTCTTTATGAAACTCACACTTTGACAGGATGAAAGTATATGAATTTTGCAGAAAAGGAATCCTCAATCAACCAGATGCTACCAAACTGCATTCAATAACTTAACATCACCAAATGTTAATTCTACCTTCTTTTTCAAGACAGTTTATTGGAAACCACCATGATTCAAGAACAAGAACAAGAACAAGAACAGTTTATTTCTACTACTGTAAACAACTAAAAGAATTTACAAGATTATAATTATAAATATATAAATAAACAGTACAGTACATACAGTACATACGTATATAAATAAACAGTACAGTACATACAGTAGTGGGACACCCAAAATTCAAACCTATCTTTTCCTCATTACTCTAATAATTACATGTACTGTATAACAGTTCCTACTCCTCTTTCAAGATTTTGCAATATTAATCCACAGGCAAATTATCGACACTATCAGACACTCAAAAAGTAAACATCTCCTTCAATCTGTGCATGTAAATAGTGCAAATCCAGAAAAGGGAAATATTTCCTGTATGAATTTGCAATTGTCTAATCAGGACTATTTGCAGCTGAATTATCAAAAACCGGTTGAATTTATTTTTGGCAAGATTCATTTTAACAATATGCAGCCTAGAAGACTGCACTTGGCCAAAAATTGATTCATGTGCTCTAGCTACGTGTACCTCTGCATGAGTGAAACATGATCCAGGGGTTTCATTAATGTTCTCAGCAGGAGGGCAACTGGTTTTCACACATGAGCAAAACTACTGTATATTAGAACTGAACTCCTTTGTAAGAAAAACTTTCTGCTAGATGGTCAAACCAGCCAAGCAAAATCATCCTCACAGCCGGTCAATTTGCCTGGTGCCCGGCCCTTAATGAAACCCCTGATGATCTCACAACGAATTTTCAATGACCAGTTTTGCCAAGTTTGATGCCCACTTAGCTAGATCTGGGTGTTTTTGTATTAACCAATGGTGATAATAAATACAATTACATGTACATGTATGACTGGGAAGGATACTGAAGTCATTACACCAAGTCACTAAATTAACAATATTTGAATGCCCATCATTCTATACAATAATGCATGCACTTGTGCAAGTAGTACATGTATCTCATAGCTTTCCAGTACAGTGTACAATAGTTGTGGTAAACGAGAACACTTTTCAAAAGTTTCAGTGTAAAGTGTTCTGCAGCAGATGAAGACAATCTCACACAAATTTTCTTTCATGTGTTGTTGTACTAATCAAGCTTTCTTCAGAGTTCTCTGTTGGTCTCCCAGAGCTTGGTGAACTAGTTTTGACAGATTTTAAAAAATGTCTTTGCCAAACACCACTGACCAATGAGCTTTTTTGACCTTTTGAAATGGAGTGTTTACAATTTTATTACATCAAGTAAGATGTAAGATGGTAAATTATTGAAGTACACGAATAAATGGCCAGAAAAAGAAATAATGTTTACTGAGAGTTCTATATATTTTTAAAAATCAAAAATTGTTTTTCAGCCATGAAAATGACGTTGACAGCCAGGTATTTTTTCTGGTTATTACATGTATCTAAATCCCTGTTTATCTTATAAGAACTTTGGCTGCACATGTACACTAAGAAGTTGTTTTCCATTGGAATTTCGCTAGTGAATGACAGTATTTGCATCACAAAACTGTGCAAAGAGATAAAAGCCTTTGGTTTCAATTGAAGTTATCATACTTCCCACCCACTCCAGGTGTTATCTGTCAGTTTTGTCGCACAGTCAAACACCTGCAGGTGCACATGTCAAATAAAACATTTTAAAATTTCCTGTTCATGAGTCAATTTCTATTAGATGTCTTTGCTACAGTGTAAAGTACTGTATACTTAAAAGTATGTATATCCTGACAATGCATATACATGTATCGCTAGACTATGGTATTAATACGCTGTATTATGTGTAGGAATTAAGTCCAACAACTTTTTTCGAATCAGTATCTTAAGTTTCTTAAAAAATTTGTCAACTCTAAAAAAGAATCAAAATTGAACCATCAAAATTCCACAGGCAGAGAAACCATTACAGAACTGTGGAGTGGCCACTATCACAATCGAACAAGCCACTCTTGGACTAGTGACCTAGTAAATACAAACATTTCACAAGGTGTACAAGGATGAAAATTGACACCAGTCACATTCAAACCCACCTGGTTGGGCTCGCTTCATTTCATGTTTCTTTCTCATAATTTCTCTCTGAAAAATAATTATAAAGAGCCAATAGTTTGGTAAAGAAGTATACGTAATGGAAAAATAGATTGGGATAAATTACAGCTTTAGTTACTTCTTAACAATTATGTATTTTTTTTTAATTTGTGGAGAGAGGCACTGTGAGAATAAAATGTTACCTCAGGAAGGCAATGCACTAACCCTGACCAGGGCTCAAACCTGGACCACTCGCTCCTGAGCCCAGCACGCCAACCATTACGTCACCACACTACCTACAAAGCATGCCTTGCCAAATGATACTGAAGTTGGAACCACATTCCCACAATATAAATGCACAGTCATGCATGCACAACTAGCAAATGGAAACTGTTCTGATCAGCTCAGTCTTTCACTTACTTCAATCCAATACTCAATATATCAGTGAGTTTAAGAAATTTGTATTTGTTGCAGTTGTAGTACCCATATGTGTCTGACTTGAACTACATAATAAATTCATTGAGACTTTCTCAAAATTTCAAACATAAAAAAAAAATTGGGGGTCGCTTACTTGTTTTGGAGAGGAGGTAAATCGTTTTGATAACTGTACTAGAAATCTACATGTAGAAGCTTCAGTCATGTAACACAACCACAAAATAAGAAGAATGAAGATGTCTAGGTAAGGTTGAATGTGTTTATCTCGGCAAAAAATTGGTAGATGTAGCTCTACAGAAGGATCATTGCAAGTCACACTCAAATTAACAGAAAATTTTGATAATGCATGTGAAAAGAAAGAGTAAAAAAACTCCAAACTTCTGGTAATCAGATTTTGTTTGTTTTTATTTTTTGTTAAAATGGAGAGAATCAGTAAAGGAACTTATCTATGAAAAGAAAAGTGGACATCCTTGGCCATTTAAGAGAGTAAACTACAGGTGGAGAATTTAATGCAATCGGTTCCAAGCCATTTACTTGTTTACATTTCTTCATTAACATGTGTGCTCACTGCATGACGCAGTGTGACACTGCAGTATGAGTCACATGTAGAGTTAAGATGCACAGGAACAATGGACACAGTGTTCTTATGTTAAAGCTCATAATGTACATAATAGGTTACCATTATACAATATAGGTAGCATTTTAAAAACTACAAGTAAACATTTCTACCTGCTGTTGTAATTTCCTTTCACGAATGCTGTTTGGATTGACTGAATGAGCGTCATCTTCATAAACACTGTAAACAGAGTATCAACAACACTTGAATTTACTGTACAGTAATATAACAAATTTATAAGTACATGTAATTTAACTGAAATAAAATATATTACTGTTTTCCTACAATTCTCAAGGGTTCTCCATGCAAAAGAAACCTATTGTAATTATACGCACCAGTGCTGGAGAGTCTCCTCCATTCTCTGAGTTTGGAATAAACTAGTGCACACACAAACATTTTTATGGAAATTTTAACACAAAATATTTCCACAGAGTTTTGTTGACGACAATGATTGTAAGTTACTGTTACTCTTGGCACTTGGGATCTTAGGATTTCAACCCTATGACACAACTGAAATAGTAATGAAATCTGCCTGGAAATATTTGATGTTTGGTTGGAACATTGGATCTACATCTATGTGTAAGGATAATGAAAAGTGTTTTAAAAAAATCTGCTGATAAACTTGCCAAATATTCTTTGCATTATGAAATTCTGGAGAGAGGTGTTAACATCAAGAGTGGAATCAGTAAAAGTAGAGTATTCACCATCAAACTACTCTAGCCAAAAATAGAAACATGACCATGTCTACCTTGGCCTAAACAAGACATCCTTGTGATTAGTCTGGCAACATCACATATCACCAACAGATATTACAAACAATGATGAGCAAAAAAATCTTACTGTTATTCTCTGGTGGTACATGTAAATGTGTTTCTCAATAAACAAAATGTTTACCAAGAAGCAGCAATACATGTATGTAGGATGTTCAAGTTATTTTTGTCCTTCAAGTGGAACAGCAGAATAAACGTGCACCGCACTCTTCGAAGTTCTTGAAAAATTGTTACTTCAATTTCAAACACGGAAGTTGCACATTCATCATATGCAGACCCAAAATATTTTAGATTAAATGCAACACGTACAGCACTTTTTCATGTAGATCGTTCTTTGAAGCATTAAATCATAGTCATTTCATGTGCGCTGGATATTTCAAGATCCAAATAATACACTGAAAACTCACCTGTCTCGATCGCAGTGGATCTTATTGCACATTGCAAAAATTTCAACTCTGAAGCAGATTTAATTTGTAGGCCAAGGGCACATTCTTTTCAAGAAACCACCTAATAACAATCACCTACTACATGTATCTATGCTTTTCCATCTTGGCCATCAATGAGTCGAATTTGAGCTTAATACATGAGGATTCCTACACTGTTGTTGTTGCCCAATTTTGTAACGTTTGGTCAAAATGACTCATGATCAAAGTTATGTTAGGTACACGGTAAGCTTATTAAATAGTATATGGGAAAGCATAGGTTTACATAAAATAATTTCTTAACAATAGGCTGGAAACAACCGTTTTAACGCTTTGCAAAATCAAATGGGGTAAGCTGATCCAGTTAAACTTAACGCACACGGTGAAATTTTGCCTTCAAAGAATTCATGTTGAAGAGGACCTTCCTATCAGCTCTGGCGAGTAAAAACAATTTGTTAGAATTTTAGACGAAAATTATTTTTGCTTCAAACGAAAAAGACGGTTTTGTACTGCAATTAATGGCTGAATTACCTGAGGAGCGAAAGTTTAAATACAGACGTTTCACTGAACAAGCAAAAAACACCTGACATTAAACCACCATTCGGTGTTTCCTTGTATCGAGGGGTTAGCAAGCTTAGTCGAAGGTTTTCCATTCACAAAGACGATTTGCTACACAGTGGTACTAACAACACATCTAACCATAAAAAGGCTTCACATTTTGGAGAATTTAATAGAACGAAAAATCAATACACCAACAAATAAATACTAGAGCATCAATCTTCGAACTTCCAATATTACAATGTTCCGCCGATTGACTAAGTGAGTTAAGATACGAGTTCACTTAGAACTCCTTTTACCAAATAACGTTCGAAAAATTCATTTCAGACACTTGTGTATGAATATTTCGAGAAAATGAAAGCAGTGCTTACCTTCCAGGAGGTCCGCCCATGGTCCAAGCGCTGTGGATGACAGGTAATAGCAAAAACTTCTTAGTCATTGCCAATTGATGTAAAACGCCATACGTTGCCAAGGGCTGCTAAGTTGCTGTAAAGCTAGCACATTACACCAAAACCACAAGCAAAACCACCTTATTTTGAACTTACCTGTTATGACCAAAGCTAGAAGACATGATGAAGAGTATCCACGTTTTTACTGCTTGAAAAATTCGATGATGTTTTGAATGTTACGCTCACGAAAAGGCATAAAAACAGAGTGAATTCTAATAACTATGTTCAAACAGCGGATCTTCTCAGTTTGCCAGCCGCCCTTGTTATTGGTTAGTTCCGGTCATGTGGTCAAATCGCCCGATGAAAAAATTGACAGAGAGGAATCTGGAAATGACTTAATCGCCGGAAAAAAGAGAGATTTATTGCTTTTATAGGAATCCAAATAATTTTGTAATATTGATGAAAGGGCGAGGGTAAGCTAAATATATAATGGGGCCAAGGTTGTGTTTTGACAATATGATGGAGTAATCCCGTTCCCAGATCGCTTTTTCCTGACGCGCTCGATAATCTTTCTTTTCTTTTCGTTTCCTGACACCGCACGTGACTCTCGCTCCATACGAATTGATATTCCACGACCGGGAGGGGTGATATAGGCCTCCCTTTTATAACCTCAAGAGTATTTTCCCGGGAGTATTTTAGAAATGATTATAACTTAGAGGGTATGTAGCACGTTCACAAATGTTGACATGACGACATCGTTTCGTGTGGTGGTTTTAATTTATAAGCCAGCGCCATCAATAAATCCATCAATAAAACCTTATTTAAAGAGAGCAGCACATAACGGTTTGTAAAACTAATGAACTTGTTGCACTCTGAATAAAAAACAATTCAAAATTTATAAACAGTCTAATTATTTACAAACCCTAATTAAAATCAAAAGATATATTTAACAAATAAAGAAGCCTAAGACGTGAATTACACTGATAAGACACGACGGACATTTGAGACCACGAGGGAAATGTAGAAAAGACGAGCCGCAGGCGAGTGTTTTCTACATTTCTCAAGTGTTCTCAAATGTCCGGAGTGTTTTATTTAGCTCTCATTAACCGAGCAGGAGGTCTGTATGGGAGAATCTTGACCGAGGTCAGAATTCTCCCATATTGACCGACTAAGCTCGGTTAATAAGATGTTTATTATATGGCAAACAAGAACAATTTAATATGCTTAATTTAACTGGTTTGTACTAACTGACATTTTGCTCGGGAAAGGCGATGAGGCGAACTTAATTCTGCCAAAGTTTGCTCTTTACTTTTTTCTCATCAGGCTTTTTGGCACTACCATAAATAAACATTATTAAAAGAAAATAGTCAATATTTTTGCATTTTAGTTTGCAGCTTTTTCACCGCAAAATGTAACCGGTTTAGATGCCGGTCTAAATGGGAAAATCTAGACCGCTTTCAATATCGACTTCAGCCAATCAAATTCTTGAATTCGCTAGTTCCCAGTCCTTGTGAGACACAGCAGTATAATAACACAGTGTAATACACGGCTTAGGCTTCTTCATTTGCTATATGATATAGAGGTAATGTGGCGAAAAACAATAAAAGACGTTTTTTCTATGTTTTATACTCTGATAAAACATAGGTTTTTGACCAATCAGAGCGCGCACAAGGTCCTCCATATATTATAAAAGATTATAAGGTAAATTCTTATCACTTCCAATACTCAATCTAAAATTAATTATCTAAGGAAGGAGCAAATATCCTATCCCTACGCTGACTTTATTTAAAATGTTTATATAATACTTTCTTTAAAAAAGTTAACAGATTGAGAGGTGAGTAACTTAAGAGGGAGGCGATTCCAACATTTAGAACTCCTTACAGAAAACGTGCGGCCTCCGCATGATTAACGTTGTAGCTTGCGCATGCGCCGAGCCGTGAAACCCTCCCTTTCAGTTCAAATGATATAAGAAAATCGCGTAAATCCATGGGATGGGTATTATTTCCATCAACAAAACAATGACAAAAGAATCAAAGAAACGAAGACCAAGACTTTTGTTTTTGTGGTGGCTCTGAGAGGAGCCGTTTTGAATGGCTCCACAAAGAGCCGTTTTAAATTTTTCTTGAACTTTTCGTACGAGGAAGAATGATCTGTTTCTTTTATAAGTTTCTGATTTTACTAGGCTGTCGATCGAGGTCATAGAGTATGCGAGGTTTCAAAATAACTACTTTTGGAATGATAACAGTTTCATTAGACGTCAGAATTGTGACGTTTTTGTTTTTACTGCAATTTGAGTGCGTTTGAACAACACGCATTGTGTAATTTTTTTTCGGGTAATAAGGTCATTGAAACATTCGGAGGTATCCTACTCGAGAGGGAGGCGCGGTGGCCTCATGGTTAGCGCGCTCGTCTCCGGATCGAGCGGTCTGGGTTAGAGTCCTAGCCGGGGACATAGTGTTGTGTTTTTGGGCGAGACATTTTATGCTCACAGTGGCTCTCTCCACCCAGGTGTATAAATGGATACCGGCGAATTTTATACTGGAGGTAACACTGCGATGGACTAGCATTCCATCCAGGGGTGAGTAGAAATACCCCTGGTAGCTTCATGCTACAGAAACGGGGATAAGCTCCGGTCAGACGTACGGGCCAGTCGGCTCGTATGCAGATTTTACCTTTTTTACTGTTACCTACCTATCCGAGATACGATTTTTGTAAGTGAAATAAATCCTGGAGATTCATTTTCTGTAGTTTACATAAAAAAAAGGATTACATCATGTCAATTTGATGAACCTGTGCTCGCTACATGCACAGCGACTAAAGAAGAGGACTTCGTAATTCCAGGAACTGAGCTTTCTGCCCTCTGAAAAACATGATGGCATGGAAGAATAAGCGAAACAACTGCGACAACACAGCTAAGGAAATTAGAACACAAAGACATGCAGGTGCTACCGCGATAAAAGCTAGCTCTATCCACGCAAAGACCCGAAAAACTGTTTCCACGGGACCACTGACTTCTATTCCTTCAGAGACTAGCGATGCTTCTGCTAAGCTAAAGGTCGCGATGATAATCAAGGCGACAAGAGAGATAGTTTCACAAGCGTTGGCTATGGTGTCTCTGTAAGGTTTCTTGCACAAATGGTGCACGAATATGGCCATGCATGCAAAGTCAAGACAAAGTAGTCGCAGCATTGGGTCTGCTATGAAGGAATGCAAAACCAAGAGGACAAGACGACGTCCGATTAAAACGCTTTCCCAGTACAGTGTTCCTTCGTCGTCTTCTACGGGCTGTCGAAAAGGTGCCTGCAGAACCATTTTAATATCCTCATTGTCTTCTTGCCATCTCCGAAGAGCCAGTTTCTTTTTGAAGCAGCATCGAATGGCCCAGTAACACAGAAGCGGCAAAGGCATAATGCATGCCAGGGCGAGCTCCTTGGTCGAGACACTCTGTTGAACCAATTTCCTTGAGCCCCAGTACAGCACGAATATGAAAGGAACAACGAACACCACGATGTAAGAAATCAGGACATACTGCCACCACTGCCAACAATGGATGTTTCCGTCCAAGAAGAGACGAGATTCCGAGTGAACTGGAACACACTTTAACAAGCTTAAAGACACGTCTGTAAGCCTTTCGTAACCAAGCAGCAAGGTTTCCACTCCAGCCGCCAGGTAGAGGGTGAAACGAGGAGGGCGGATATATCCAATGCAACTCAATGCTTTATGAATTAAGCAAGTTATCGAGATGCAGGTGATAGTTGCAAACACCTTCAAACTGGTAAATAGTTGTTTGGTAACTGCTGTAAGCCCAGGGAAAGGGCAACCAAATTTCTCGTTCCATGACTGTATTTTAAAATTAAATACAGAGATCAACGGACGAATGAATTTGACTCTGTTCAGTAGGTCTTCTGATGAGGTAGTGATCAGTAGCAATTCGACAATCTGGTAAAAGTAAAAGATTGTCTTCACAACTGCATGATCAAAGTGAGCCTTGCCATTACCGTTTTGCAGATCCGACAGAGCTGTATACGTGGGAGAAGTACTACCGTCCCTGCGTCGAAACCAAACAATGTTTTTCCAAAGGAATTCAAACAATAGAGGTCGTTTCAAGAGAAGAAATGAAAGGCAGACAACGTATGCTACACTGAAGAACCAGAACAAGTAATCGTTACAGGTCTCCTTTTCTCGGCATTCAGTAGAAAACATGGCTTCTGTGTAGCCTTCACGACAGTGTCCACAAAGGATACCACTTCTGTAGCCACAGCAACTATTATAGCTCGAAATTACCTCGGATGCTATCTTTGGGCCACAATACTCGAGAGGGCAAATATTAAACACCACTGTTGGTGGATGTTTTGGCACACGGTAACCCCAGAAGTTTGGTCTTGCAACGATGCCGTGGGAGCAGTTTCCTCCGTAGGGACAAGGAAGGCATCCGTCCGTATTAACTGCAGCATCTGTGATGAAGAAAACTCTTTCCAGGCTATAAAATCCAGCTTGGCATCTCTTACAACTGGCTTTGTAATCGTCCTTTGTAAGGTTTGCAGCGTCTGTTGTTACGTTTGTCGTGCTTTGCAGAACTCGATCGAACAGGCACGTTATATTGGACGTGTCGTCTGTACTAATTTTTATCCCGGACCTCAGATCCAATATCGTCGATAATTCAAACTTACTAGAATTTGGTTCAAAACTTGAATTGTGGATACTGAGAGATGAGTGTGATTCAAGATCAGAATAAAGAAAGGCGGATGGGTAATAACAGTGAAGCTGATGAGCTCGTGTAAATCGACTGCTGCGGAGAGAAACCGTATTATTGTTGCCAATAGAAATATCGCCGCCTCGCCCCTCGACAATGTTATCTTTGAAAGTTACATTTAAAAATCTGGTCGAAGTCTGCCATAGCCTAATTATCGACGCAAGTCCTCTGTTTTTCAAAAATATTGTATTTTGAAAATCCACTTCTACCAGATCGTTTGCTCTGAAGATTTGCTTCTCTATAGGAATCCCGGGTAGATCAATCAGTCCATCGTTACTTTCCGGATTCCTTGAAATTGCGAACAAGTTCTTATAAAAATTTGTTGCGGAGTTATTTACAAAAATTGAATTGTTCATGCGCAGAGTTCCTTTTTTGGCAGAAAAGTAAAATGCAAAACCCTTGTTAGATTGCATCGTCACGTTATCCATTGACATTGTGACCTGCTCTGACGTCATAGCAAGCATAGGATAAGGATCTCTATCCCTGAGTGTTCCATTTATCAAGCAATGTTTCATTTGGACTGTAATCCTTCTGGAACACGCGAGGTTGTTAATAACTCTCAGTGCACTTGTTAATGTGTCATCCATTGAAAGGTTTTCAAACGACGAGTCAAAACAACCATTTACGTAAATGGCACCTCCAACGTTAGAAAAAAAATTACTTCTGCAGAAATTTACGACTCCAACTGATTTTGACTGGCGGGAAAGGATGGCTATCAAATAGCCGTCACCCCATTCAGAAAGTCTGGTTAAGACAGGGAAAAATCTTGCATTAGCGTTTTCTTGGAAGACGCAGTCGTGAATGTGAATTTGAATTTGTGTATCACTGTCCGCGTTGAGGCTACTGATTTTTATAACCGGCTGCGGCTTATTGCGACGGAAATTAGAATGAGCAATGGATATTACCACGGGCCCTGCACTTCCAACATCGATGGCTGCCCCATTGCTGTAGAATGTGGTGTTGCTGACATTCAGATAGAGCGACCAACTATAGACACCGCTCCAGTTCGACTGCAAGAACAGAGCTGTGTCACAGTGGGAAAAGGTGCTGCCCAAAACTTCAACAGAGCAAAATCCGAAACATCGAACACCACATCTGTCACGTCCGAGTTTAACAAATGACAAGTTCTTTAAAGCGACTCGCAGTTCTGTCACCTCCGAGTTAACCGAGCTGAAAGGAGACCCTGGAAATGGTGTAGGGGCGTTTTGTGAGGGCCATTGAAACGAAATCTCACACGAAACGTTCGCTTGTGGACCTTTTGCCAACCAGCTGGAAATGGTTAAACTTATCTTCAAAACGGGCGTAGATGAGTTGCATGTGTAGGGGTGTTTACTGGTGCCTGTTCCATCCAAGAAGAGTGATCCTTTGTTGACAACGTGTAATAATGAATGCACCAATGTCTTACAAGGGGCGTCCTGGCTGCCACAGGTCGGACCGTCGGTTCCGTTGGCTTGGGAGACGTAAACACTATTAGTTCTTGGAGGAATAACTGTGGTAGAAAAAGAACAAGTTTAAAAAAACACTGAGCAACATATATAGATGCCCTGCCTCGAAATTACAGACTACAGTACTGAAATGGCAGTTGGGCCGGCGATGTTCAGTTATTCGATTTTTAGATACTACAGAAAATAAATGCTACTCAATACGTAAACGGTTTGATATGAGAGTAGTTCTGCACGAAAGAGTTGTTGATAATTGAAGTTTCGACAATCTGACCGGAAGTCACCTACGACAACCTGTGCCTTAATCGAAACGTCTGTCAGCGGTTACAGTCCTTTGAAAGGGTTATCTTCACCAAAGCAATCACAGACAAATACAACTGCAAACCAAATCATTTTTATTTAATTTCAAGAAGTTTCATAATTAAACTCTGTACTAAGGTAGGAGCTCTCGGTGAACCCCTCTATTTTAAATCTTAAAATTACGGATTTTGAACCTTCTCTTTCTCACCATTTTGTGTGACATCGTTATTCCGATATTATTTCATTTTAAATTATTATCTCGTGCATTTCATAGTAATTTCGATTTTGCCATACATCCTTAAGGTCGAAATTGCAGGCATCCTACTTTTTACTTTCATCTACGATTTCTCCCCAATGTGAGCTTATCAATGATAGAGCGCCTGCCCGGTGTTCGGGAGGTCATGGGTTCGATTTCTGTCGGGGACTCAGATTTTTTCTTTGTCCCACGCCCGTGTCATGTTGATCAGTTCACTTTTCACATTTCATTACTGAGCCACACCAGATTCCCAGATATGCCAAAGCAGTATAATTATCTTCCCAAAGTGTGTAGGTATATTTTTAGTTATTTTAGGAAGTGTGAAGCTCTGCGCGACATCCAGTGCCGTATCAGAATCTGTTACAACACTTAACAACGCTTAACTTCCGTGGAACATGAAATTTGTAAACTTGAGACACCTAGTCGGATCTTAATTTGCAAGCCGGCCATGATATGCATGTTCAAATCTACCTACAGCTGTTCATTCGGGAACTATAACTGAAAAGCAGCGTAAATTGCTAAACTGCGAGTAATATCAGTGAACGGATAAGTAGAGCTGAAGAATGTCAATTTAAACCAAGCGACCTAACAAATTGTTTTAGGTAATGCTAAGACCTAAAACACAAGCAAGATACCACTCGATCGAGAAGTTGAAAATGATAGCAAGATGAGGGTCTTTTCTTTTTGTCTATATTTGGTGTACAAAATTACATATAAAGTACTATATCATTTCTGCCGTATCAAGGAAAAGTGTCGCACCTGCCAGGATGCCCACAAAACAAATCAGAAGATAGATGAGACAGCGGTGAAAGGCAGTTAATGCTTGTTTTTCCATCTCGTCGTCACTGTACAGTACTCTACTTCAACTGATTACTGATCACTACGTACACCAGAGAACTTGCCTTTTGTTAGAATAAGCTGAAGGAAAGGCGAGAGGCACTTTCCCTAATAAGGAGAAAACGCATACTCTGATCATTTCAGCGAAGGGCCACTTACAAGGCGAATTTCATTTCCTTAGGGAAGACTGAAATTTCATCCCGGTTCCATCCGGTTTCAGCACCTTACGTTTTAGCAATTTTCCACTTACGAAACCCGGGTTACGAAGCAAAAAGTGGTGATATGATATGTCTCGATTTTCCTACTCCTTTATTTGGTAGCAATAAAGAGAACGACAGTGATAAATCACGTGGAATAAAAGATAGAAAACTGTTTCTTCCAAAGCGTGACGTGGTGCGGGTTAATGACAAGAAAAACAGACTTTTTGAAGACCAGGGAAAAATGAAAATTGTTCTCACGTGTACGACTCTAATAATAAATGTAAATTTATTTGAGCATCTGCGACGTTAAGCGTCCTTTAAGATAAAAACTGATTCCTTACAGTTAATTGAATATCGAACTTTCGATCTCCCGCATATTGAAACAAGCACACGAGTGAAACAGAAAGACGACGTACATTCAAACATTACTCGAGTGATACTACAAAACACATATGCAGAAATGCACGCATTGCCTGTAAACATTATCAATTTGAGGTCTCTACATTTGAATGTAAATGAATGTCAAGCGTTCAATTCTTACGCCCCGTCTAACTAAGTCTGAGAAATTGTAAGCGAAGTTTACACTTTGAAAAAGCATCAAATGTTTTCGGTCCACACTAAGCCGGAGAAATTTGAAAACGCAGCAATCACTGGTCATTTTGGATCTGTGTTTGAGGAAAATGCGGGCAGGGAAATGGCATCAAGTTATCGTCACGTTAGCGTTTCGAAAAGATCCGTTTTCAAAACGTTTTCCGTTCACACTAAAAGGCAAAGCCAACGGTTCCAAATTTCTCCGGTTTAAAGAGCATTTTCGAAAAGCTCCGTTTTCGTGACGTGTTAGTGTGGACGGTAGGCCTAACCGTAGAAGTTGAATGAAGTGTGGATGGGGCCTTAGGTATAAACAAGCGAGATGAAGAGTGAGAGAATCGACAGACTGTCTTACTCTTTATCCACTCTTGGTACCAGAATTTCCTATCGCTGGTACAAGATGAAACGTGGAAACATCAGGTAGTAGAGGTCAGAGTTGACCTCGCTACCTGGAATCGTAATCCCGGTTTGGTCGTGTTCTTGAAGATTGCATCACTCCCCCAAGCCACTCAATTGATTGAGGTACGGTGACTATATAGTAATTTACATTTATGACAGTTCAGGTTAGTGAAAGGTTGCTGTACAATATACATAAGCTCAGTAAGTTTGACTTATTTAGTATACGTTTTCAGTTGTCGAGTTGGATCGCCAACTTGTTGAAAGAGACAGGCAGGTAACAGAAACCACATCGGTTTAGTCAATTTTTAACATAGCGTTATGGTGAGTAGATATTGAACAGTTCTGGCGGTCACCACATCACGGACTTGTTGTTGACAATCACAGCTACAGATGATGAAAGCTGAGACACAATTGAGGGCGGCTTCACCACCGCAAATGTAAGAATTTAAAGCTATACGATTCAGTCGAACTGATCAGTTCGATGAATACAAAATGGTTAACATATACTTGAGCTGCACTTGTTGTACGATTGATCACGGATTTTTATATTTTAGAATGGCAGCGAGGAATTTCTTGTTTTTCTGCGTCTCTTTCTTGGTGCCTTTTGCTGAAGTTTATAGCCAATCGCAGGTAAGAATATTTAACAATTATTCCACTTACGCTTCGTGTTGGATTATGAGATGATAGATTGCGGGTAGCTCCGACGGAGTCGGCTACCGATAATCATCTCATGTCCAACAAGCGCGAGGGCAGCACGAGTGGAATAATTGTCTTACTAAAAACGCCCCCAAAATATAGAAAACTAAACTAAAATCAAAATAAAAACGCCCTCCAAAATTACACGTACGCTTACCGTATTTGCAGGGCATGGTATAATGGCTCATCTACAGTGATGGCTAAGCCAATGAGAACTCTTGAATTGCGCTATCCAATGATAAAGTTTTTGATAATCTTAATTATATGATTAGTTTTGCTTGCTGGTACCTTCCACTTTGAATCTAAACGACGAATGTCACTTCCAGGGTCTTGCTTCACCCTCCCATCTGTATTTTAGTTGGAGGAAAATTTTAGAAACGATATTGAAAGTCCAAGACAACCTGAGATGATCTTGATAGAAAATTATAAATGAGTGCCTGTGCATGTTTATTTGTGACGTTTATAGAGCTCATGTTTCTGTTCTGCTGTCCTTTTTTTTTCTTTGATGAATTGGAATCAGGTTTAACAATTACTAAGTACAACAACGACCTGGTATGGAGAAAAAAGTATAGAAACTCTTAAGGCTGCTTTGTTTTGGTTCTCAGTGTGTGAATTAATAAATCCCACAATATTAATTAAGGAGAGTTTTGAATTCGACGAAAAACGTCACAGATCATAACAGTACATGACATACGGCTCGTATGGTTGGGTTGAAGCCTTCTCCATCGTACATCTTGTGCAACATGGTACCCTCTGTCGACTCCCTCAGAACTTCCAAAAAATCTCAAATGGGACACAAGTTAAAAGAACAACGTCACGCTTTCCGCATCTTGAAAAGTTTAGCCTTAATTTTTCAAGTTCTTCATTTGTAATCCGTGTTAACCTTCTCCATCCTTAACCACCCTCGTTCCTTTTTAATTCGTTATTATGTCTTTGACGTTTTTCAGTCTTAGTAAACTACTTGCTATTTTCAGGGTTACTTCAATTTAAAGGTAGTTTGGTGCGTTGCCAAAGTAACACAAAACACCGTGAATGAGCTCCTTTAACTTAAAACAGTGTTTAAAAGCGTTTACGTCAATGAGAACTGTTTTAAACGCCAAATTTAAACGGACAACTGCTAATATTATCTTCTTATCCTAGTTTCTTCGCTGGTGCGTACAGGAAAACGGCATGTGTCATCAAAACTGGGAATGCTGCGACAAGATGTTATGTAGCGATCACTTTGGAATCGGCAAGTGCATACCAATTACGTCATCGCCTCCTGTTTTTCCTGTTACATGGCCTCAGACTTATCCTCACCATTGGCCGGTACTATGGCCTTTTCCGCTGCTTAAACCAAAGAAAAAGTTAAAAAAGAAAAAGAAAACAAAGATCTTGATTAGAGTGTGCGGTGATCTCATGGGATTGAACGTCAAGGCAAAGAAAAAGAACAGTTTATTTAGAAGCTTAAAGTGTAAACAGAGAGAACGCGATGGACACAAGGATAAAACGCAGTAGTAACAACTCTGGCTCATAGCAATGCCTTCCTGCAATCTGTAGATTGAATACTGTAATTTGATGTGCGTCTTGAAGGCCTCTTTTCTTTTCCCGCTGACAGCGTTAGAGTGTTTCTGTCGAGGAACTATCGGCTGATAGTTGCCTCGCGGAAATTTGACGTTCTTAAAACAAATATTTGCTCGAGAAGCGAAGTTTCGAGGGCAAATATGCTAGTTTTAAGAACATCAAATTTCCAAGGAGCAACTATCAGACCGATATTTCCGAGACAAAAACACTCTGTTGTCTTTATTGTCCACAATAAATTTTCTTCCGCGCGCCAGTTCAACAGTCTCGGTCCATAAACACGCAAAAAAGAACGTGACCATTATCCAGCCATCTTGACCGTACAAGCTTAGTTAATAACCCATATAAATTGGTTCTCGTCTCTTTTGCAAATCACGAATTTATCTCTTGACAGTTCTACTGTCTCAAGGAAAATTAAAAAAGCAGTCCTTACTCCAATCATAAAGAAAGATTACCTCGACCACGAACTTTACGCGAGCTTTAGACCTATCTCAATCGTCACAGCGCCGGCCCCTGTTAACCTGATATCCTCCGCGCCATAGACGACGGTCATTGCGTTATACTCGTTTTATTAGATCTTTGATTAATGAAAATTTTCGGAAGAGTTAATACAGTGTCCCCAATTAGCCCATATGGGCTAAATACATTGACACTAAAATAAAGCTCTTTCTTACTTACTTACTTACCTTACTTACTTACTTACTTTCCGCTGCGTTCGATATACCGTTGACCACAGTATCCTACTTGGCAGACTTAGTGATTACTATGGCATCAAGGGCAAGGCGCTGGCATGTTGAAGATCATACCTATCGGATAGAAGTCAATTTGTGTGCGTTGATAATGAGTCATCTTCAAGCAGAGGTCTCACGTGCGGTGTTAAAAAGGGTTCGGTTCTAGGACCTATGCTGTACTCCATGTATACTGCTCTAGGGAGGCAGCGTGGCCGAGTGGTTTAGGGCGCTGGATTTGAAATCTGGAGGTCCCTGGTTCAAATCCATCACCCTACTGCTATCTGGATTTGTTCTCGGTAGTCTCGAGTTCAACTCCTCGACTGCGTTGTGTAAATAGCCAACTGGTCAGCCTCCCACCAGTTGGGATTCTTAATAGTTTATTTTCTATTTGCAATATTTGGTTACTTATTTACAGTGTCCCCAATTAGCACAATAGTGTTAAATACATTCCACACTTAAATAAAGTTATTATTATTATTATTATTATTATTATTATTATTATTATTATTTACTCGCTGGAGTAGTCAAGCAGCACAACATGGCCTATCATTATTATGTAGATGATTCACAGATCTATATGCCTTTCCGCCCTTCAGCAAATGGTGAACCAGAATACTCCAAGTCTCGTATCGAGTTGTAAAGATATCGAACGGTGGATGACAACAAACAAATTGAAGTTAAATAATGATAAAACAGAACTCCTTGTTCTAAATGCAAGTTATCTGTTGCCAACCATGCTCAACTCCATCTATGCTGGTACTGAATTGATAACTGCATCAAAGTCTGTAAAGAACATCGGCGTTTTGTTCGATAATTTGGTCCTCATAGACAAACAAATTACCTCTATTTGCAAGTCACCTTTTATCATATACAGAAATTTATAGCGGAGCTTCGGCGGCCCGAAGGGCAGCCAAGCGGAGCACCAGAACTATAGGAACAGAACCACGTGCATGCATAAAAATAGAAACCCATGTAACTCTTTTTTCATGGTCAATCTGGCTAGCGCCATTGATCGGGGGCGCATGCGCCCAACGACGACGACGACGTCGCACAACATGGCGGCCATCCAGCTAATACCAAGTATGCGGTCTGTGGTTTACAGCATGTCTTTGATATTGGACATACATAATATGTTCAATTGACACCTGTCAAAGCAAGCTATTTGCTGACCAGTATCCGGTGACCATATCGCGGGTTCAGGTTAAAAACTCATCGAGGTCATGTGTTTTCTTCAGGTTGATCGCTGACCAAATGCTAGCTTTAGATAGGATCGCGGGCTCATGTCAGGTTTATTTGTTGTAATTAGGGCGACGATCAGGGCCAGGTTGTTCCAGGTGGTTAACGCTAACCCAGGATTAAAACTAAACTTAAGTATAATTTTTTCTTGCATACAAATGTTTTTCACTGCTTTTAGGTCGTGGCGGGGCTGCGTTTGTAGTTTAAGATCATTCAAACTTAAAACAGAAGGCCAAACAATATAAACAGAAAACCTCACAAAACCTCAACAACCTTGCAAAACTCAAATCAAAATTCTCGCTTATCGTGTGCTAGCTTTTAGACTTGGCTAATTCTATATATTATCTTAATATCTACACAAAAACAACAAAGCTAACTACATAAAAATTTATTAGACAAGAAAATTTCAAGATGGCGGCCATATTACGCTAACCTGGCCGATGTTTGACATCATTCTTTGTTTCACCCGTTGAAGAGATGAATTCTACCATCGAGAGATGAACTTTTACGTGATATTTTTATATCTTGATATCCACATAAAAACTACCAAGCTACTACATTACGTATCATTAGAGCAAAAAATTACACTTCGTTTGAAGATGGCGGCCATATGAGAGTAACGTGGCCGTTGGTTTGCACTTCATCCTGTTTTCAATCCGTGAAAGAGGTGGGATTCTAATATCGAGAGATGAAGTTCCTGGCGACAGTAGACTGTCTTGATGTAAAGACAAAAACTACCAACGTACTAAGAAAAACGTTATTAGAAGTGAGATGTTGGACTTTGTTTCAATATGACGGCTATATTAGCGGAGTTTCGGCGGCTCAATGGGCCGCCAAGCGGATCAGGATGACGATAGGAACAGAACCACATGCATGCATGGAAATAGAAACCCATACAACTCTTTTTTCTTGGTCAACACGGCTAGCGGCATGGATCGCGGGCACTAGCGCCCGACGAAGACGTCGGGAACATGGCGGGCATACTCCAGCTAATACTACGTCTTGGTTTACAGCATACGCCTTTGATATTTGACATCCGTGTTATGGTCAGTTGACACCTGTGAAAACAAGGTATGCGCTGACCAGTATCACTTTACCATATGGCGGGCTCATGTGAGATCATGTGTTTTTTTAAAGTTGACTGCTGGCCAAGTAGTTGTTTCCGATTTGATTGTGGGCTCATGCCAGGTTAATTTGTTGTAATTAGGTCGGGTTGTTCGGAAATTGGGTTAACGCTAATCCACCGAAGTATAATCGTCTATACAAGTGTTTCTCACTGTTTTAGGGGCAGGGATTGAGATTATTCAAAATCAAGTCAGAAGGCCAAAGATATAAACAGAATACCTTACAGCTAAGTTACAAAACTCAAATCAAAATTATCGCTTATCCTGGGTTAGCTTAATCGGGTTTTGAACAAAACGGCCACGAGCTCCGCTTTTAGGCTTGGTTAAATCTTTATGTTATTATTTAAATATTGTGAGATTCTCATCCAAGCATTTATAACCTCTAAGTTGGATTATTGCAATTCCCTTTTGTCGGGTCTTCCGAAAAACCAGATTCAGAGATTGCAGCTAGCAGTATGTTCAGAACACAGCCGCGCGGCTCCTCGCTGCATGGAACTCGGAAGCACTATCATATCACGCCTGTGTTTCAAGAGTTACACTGGCTGCCAGTGGCCGAGAGAATAGATTTCAAAATTTTGCTTTTGGCCTTTAAATCTATTAATGTTCTTGCCCTTCCTTATTCAAACGAACTGTTACAACCATATGTTCCTGCTAGATCATTACGCTCCTCCAAAAAATCTCTACTTTGTACTCCTAAATGTAATCTTATACAGACACAGCATTTTTCGTATATTGCTCCAGTTTTATGGAACTCGCTACCAGACAATATAAGAAACTGCAGGTCGCTGGCGACATTTAAATCTAAGCTAAAGACTTTTCTTTTGAAACGTATTTTTTTATTTTTTATCTATAAGTTATTTTAATTAGTATAATTTCGAGAGGTGAATATAAGAATGGGACATTCTGATTGGTCGAAAAGCTCATTATATGACGCTATATTCACAGGTAACAGGTGCTCTCTTTTGCCTGAAACAGTTCTAAATACCGTGTTATTATACAGTTTGTTCTGTATTCTCAGTGGCTATAGTCTTTAAGCATACAGAGCTGACGCCATTTCTATAGACAGTAGAGCCCGTTTATGGTTTTATGCACGTGTGCTGCGCGTCACTCGCCTCACGAGCGATGGCGGGAGAGAGATTCCACATTCCGCAAGGGATACACTGATATAAAGCTTAAAAATTAATGAATTATTAATGATTTTATTAAGTGTAAAATGGAAGAATTACTGGATTCGGTTTTTGCATGATTTTGAAATTAGCAACGGCTCCGTTTTTTATCCGTCCCAGCCCGGGATAGGCAAAGAGAAGAACCCTATCAATTTCACGCATAAGACGGAGGGAGGCAGCGTGGCTGAGTGGTTAGGGCGCCGCAGACTTGAAATCCCGAGGTCGCGGTTTCAAGTTCCGCTGTGATAACTTAGCTGGAGTTCCGCTAGATTTGTTTCTCGGTAGACCCTACTTCAACTCTTGAGTCATGCTTGTAAATAGTTTATTGGTCTGCCTTCCGCCTATTATTATGAAGCCTATTATTTTTACTCCAAATATTTCTTTCTTTCAGTTTAAGCTAGAGACATGCCTGCCAACTTGCGGATCGACCACAATAAACATTCAACATTTAACGTTTAACAGACTGTTTACCACCCCCCAACAAAATTGTTATGATACACAATTAAATATAGTTTTATTGTACAGTATTTACAGTTTCATTGTTGAACATACCATTGTGGTACAATGTCATTACAATCCTTGAAAGATACTTAATCACTGAGGTATTCTCTATGGTGGCATACATGAAGCTTATGGTAACCTTATTGTTCTCTGTTTATTGTCACATGATTAGCCACGTGACACTTGGTCACTTGGTCCGCGATTTGAAGAAGTAGTAGGTGACAATGATGACTGTTCGTTGATGGCGTGGGAAAGGAGCGAGATTTGACCATCAATCTTCAATACTGAAGAAATACACTGTAAAAGACAGAAAATGTCGCGACGAGTG